AAGACCACGAAAAAAAAAAAAAAAAAAAAAAAAAAAAAAAATCATTGCTATATGGGCATTGCAGAGGACTGCATATTTAAAAGTTATCATAGCATTCTTTTCATGGGAAGTGCTTTGGTAGCGATTGAGGCTCAGTTTGAACAAAGCAAGACATCTGCATTACTTTGCTATTGCTGATATGACAAGTTGCCACAGACATAGACTTAAAATTACCCATCTTACAATTCTATAGATTGCAAATCTGGAATTGCGCAAAAAATTTTTTTAAAGTGCATGTGACAGTGAACTCCAATAAAAGGGAAAATCATGGGAAGACAGAGAGGGAACAGCATCTGCAAGGAACATCCAAGCCAGAAGCTCACAGAAAGGCAAGAGGTAAGCCATTCTCCTTCAGGACTCTCAGAGGAACCAACCCTGCAGATAGCTTGATTTTGGATTTCTATGACCTCTAGAACTGAAAGTCAATACATTTCTATTACTTAAGCCACTCAACTTGTGGAGCTTTCCTACAATAGCCTCATGAAAGTAATGTACTGGCTATATGGTCAATTGGACAGAATTTGGGGAGTGGAGTTTCCTAACCATTTCAGAACGTATGTTCATTGTAATTAGCATTTTCCTGGCCTGGGTCAAAGTCCTTGATTCAAGTTACAGTGATACATTGGTTGTCAAACAACTCCAAGCTCAAACTTTTAACTATTTGAACAGCAAAGCTTGAAAAAAAAAATCTGCTTGGTGTTTGTGACTTTGCTCTATAGTTGAATTGAAAATCCAACTTGAAAAAAACCTCTACAGAGTGAGCAATACATCAAGTCTTGCCTGGACACAGAGGAGTGATGCTTCAGTCTAAGTGCTGCTTTCAACTAGACAACATACTATTCAGAGCTTGTGGTAGTTAAAATGTTCATCATTGTGTTTTTTTGTTTGTTTTGTGCTTTGTGTAAAACATTGTACCCAAGGCTCCTAATAAAATGAAGAATCACAGAAGTTGTAGATTGTAAGAACCTCACATAGCTACTCTGGTAAAACTAGATCATAAGAAGTGTAAGGGTTGAAGCAGATTTGTTCAGAGACCTTTTGCACTGACAGGAAGTAAGGATAGCTAGGGAGCAAGGATAAGTGGCAGAAATCAGGGTGTGTTTAGAAGCAGGTGGATTACATGTGAGAACAAAGCAATGAGGACAAACCCACATGATTTTGCACGACTGGTAGGATGGAGTTTCTATTTGAGATAAAGTAGCTGTAGGGAGAGTAGATTTCAGGGGAGTAACAAGTGTTCAGTTTTGGACATTTTGGCCTTGATATATACATGTGATATGTACATGTGATTCTGGAGTTTAGTGAACATGTCTGGCTGGTGCCAAAGCTTTCCTCTTCTGATTCGATTTCATAGTCTTAAATGACATATAATGCCAGTGTCCTAATGTTTGTATTTATGGTTAAAGGCAGGTTGTGGTGGCGTAGCTATATTGCCAGCAAAAGGTGTAGTGGACTTGTGGGACAGCCTCTTTGTCTTAATCACAGTCTCAGTTCCAGGACTTGGATCTTCCAGATTCAAACATCATTGCATTGTCCTTACACAGTATAATGGGGCTTTCATTACAAGTTTTTTATATTGTGAGCTGCAGAGACAAATTTGAATCAAGGTCTACACTCCATACCTACAGCTTTCTTCCATGCCATCACGCCAATCTTTGGCAAGCTTGCCTTTAAAAGGTTCTTACTTCTTTCCTTTTTATCTCTTCTCTAGGAATTTTAATTTCTCCCTTAACTTTTCTGAACCCATTTAATTATAGAAGCAATTGCTCATATATACTACAGTACTTGATAAGAGACAAATCCGGCACTAAGACTTCCCAGGCTCCAGTTGCTAGGTGCATTTTCCCATCCTTTAAGTTATCAGCTTTACTTTTGCCCAGGTTAAGGTCCCCAGAAATTCTATCCTCACTGTTCCAAACTTTTGCCTTCCTCAGCACAGTTCAACTTATACTCTTCGAAAGCAGCTCCAAACCTGGAGAACTCTGGTCGGACAACCGTGGTCCAGGTAAGAAGAAAAGGCGTGTTCCCAACTAACAGTAACCCGGGGGATATTCTCCGAGGTACAAGAAAGACCTGGGGAGGACATGCGGGCCAAGCTTTGTTCTCGGGTCCAGCCCTCCCGCGTACAGCCGCCCCTCCCAGGCCCCCAGGGGGCCGAAAGCAGCTCCAAACCTGGAGAACTCTGGTCGGACAACCGTGGTCCAGGTAAGAAGAAAAGGCGTGTTCCCAACTAACAGTAACCCGGGGGATATTCTCCGAGGTACAAGAAAGACCTGGGGAGGACATGCGGGCCAAGCTTTGTTCTCGGGTCCAGCCCTCCCGCGTACAGCCGCCCCTCCCAGGCCCCCAGGGGGCGCCCGGCGCGGGCCCCCT